GACCTATATAAATAAATTATAATAGATATCAAATATTAGTTAAATGCTTATACCTATTTATTTCTATAAATAAATAAATAAATAAATAAATAAATAAATAAATAAATAAATATATATATATATATATAAATATATATACAAAGTAAATAATAAATAACAAACCCAGATACTTTTGTAGTAATATTTTGAACTAGTTTATCAACTCATTGTGAAATCTCATTTATGGTAAAAATCTCAAACATGTCATCATCAACTTTTCTCAAAATAAAAATTCAAACTTTTAGGTGAATTTATAATATTCTAAAATGAATTTTTTGTATCAAATAAAATATACGAGCTAAAAATAATATTTTATAAGATAAATCCCCAGACCCAAGCACCTTTATACCAGTAACACCTTCTCTAGTAATACCATCAAACATTTTTGAATGAATATTATGATCGTTACATTCAATTTCTGTCTCAGAACTTATTAATGAAATAATGAAATAGAAAAGATATTAATTATTATTATATCAATAAGCGAGATAAAATTTGAAATAATGTAAATTTTTTTTTACCAGGAACACCAAGTTGGTTAAAACTGGGATTGCCAATAAAGTTCCAAGACACATCTATTACCAGGTTCCACATAATCAACCATTTTGCCTTGAACAATTACTTCAATATTTATAAGATATACATTATAAAGGATGGTAATTAATTAATTTTCTTTCTTTATGATAAGCAATAGATTATATGTATAAAATAAAAAAAGAAACAAAACTTACGTTCTAAGCATACTACCCGTAGGTATTTCGTTTAGATTTTCTTGAATGCGGATTAAAGTCAGATTCATCAATATTATCCAATGGAATAAATTTTTTCACACAGTGTAGTAATCAATGCTCCAATTGTATGCCTTTGATACAATTTATCAAATGTAAATCGCGGAATGCCACTGAATATTTTAGAGAGAATAACTTTTCCAATATATTTGATCCATTAGCTACATATTTTGTTGAATATTCAATATTGTGTTATCAAGTTCTGTTACAGTTGGTAGTGGTGTAGTTTCCATGACATTAGTATTATCTTGAACATTAGTGCCATTATTTTGAACATTAATATTATTGCCATTATTATTGTTGGGTCTTGATAAAAATACCTTGATTCTTAGGATAATGAAAATTTATGAGAACCTCAACGGATTCTTATAAGTAAATAAAAAATATATAAATATAAATAATAATCACTAGATTGTTGTTAAGATCAAACCGAATTCGGTAACAAAGCCGCCTTTGGTTTTTTGGATTCCATCAATCAATTTTCTTTGTTTAGGGACTCTTTTTTTCTTCGGCATCTTCATAATTATTTATTCAAAGGTAATTAATGAGAAGTATAGATAAGTTTTTTAACTTAATATCATATACAAATCTTCCTGTGAAAATTTAAAAATGTCAGACGCGTCACCATTACTCAAATGCACTGTTCACTTCTATAAATGGGGGGAGCTAATTATTACATCCCTTTGATATTAAGGGGTATAATTATGCAGCTACACAAATTAAATATATTAATATAGTTTCTTTGTCAAGATCGACTATAAGTTACATCAATAGGGGACAATAATCATTATTCTATTACTATTAAACAATGATGTTATTGAAAAACATTATGGATCTTCCTCCTCCTATTCCTATTGATACCACTACTTGTATAAGATCATTATTTATTTATTTGTTTTTTTTCGAGTTGCACGAAATTTCCACAGATGTGGTGTAACACGGTTGGCTAACAATTAATCCATTTATGCATAAAATAATCTAATCTGATTTTCAATTGTGAAAAACATCAGTAAATATAAAGTCGTATATTGATTCGTAATAGTTTGGTTGTAGAATAGTGCTTGAGTGATCACCGTAAGGAAATAATTTAATTCTTCTTGCACCGTTCCTTCTTCTTTCATTGCTAATACTAGTATTATCACTATTATTATTATTAGTACTATGATTAGAATTATCATCATCAATATTTGCTGCAGCCAAATCGAATAACTGACGAACATGATCCTTTGGGATTAATTCATCCAATTCACCGGACAAGAACAGTATTGGAATGCGTTTTATATTTAATATAGATTTTTCAGATTCCCATTTTTGAGTACAAAATATTGAAAAATGCCTTAATGGTGGCATTACGTGCGGTAATAACTTTGGCTAAAAATTATTTTTTTTTTTTAGGGGAGAGAAAAAAATAGTCATTAAAAAATTTTATATATTTTTTGGCATGACAATAATAAAAAACCCATGCTTACGATACTGAGAAAAGTATTTTCAACTATTAAACCATCAACCTGGCACCATTATATGTAAAGTGTATATATAAATATCAAAAATCGTGATAATAACAATTCTTAAAATTGTTTAATAAATTATCTACTTGCCTTATCTTCATTCTTTGATACCAAATCGATTGATACAGCACCTCCCAATGATTGACCAAACACTATGACCTTGGAATTTTTATAAATTTCGTGATTTTTAATATAGTCCAAAACTGTCTATATGCGTATAAAATATGAATATTGAATGAATGAATGAATGTGTGAATGAATGAATGTGTGAATGAATGAATAAATAATTTGATGATAATATGCTGATAATATGCTGATAATTTACTTGTGCGTCGATTTTGAGTCCTTTTTCAGTTGGAGAACCTTTACTAAATCCATATCTAAATAAATAAATGCTATTAATGTTTAATTAATATAATATTAAATAATTTGATATTGTGAATTGTCTGCCTACCCTCTATAAGAAACCATTATAACATTGTAATAAAATACTTTGTAAAATTGTTCGGCGATTTCTAAACAATGCCCCTAAACATATATGTTGTATCATTATATTGTTTATT